TAATTAATCTTAGTTATCCTCTCTGCACACCTCTCATAATCATATTATTATATGTTATTATTGTAATAGGTCTGTATAACCTGCCTAAGTTGCTTAAACTATTTAAACAATTAAATCTAATACTGCCTTAGCAAGGTGAGTATTATTATATACTTTGCTGTGTCTCTAAGTTAATTTTATTGCCGCTTTTGGACCTTTAATGCTTTTTCGATGTAAACAATTGTTATTCCACATTAACATGTTAGTGACCTATACATCACATCTTCAATGACACAAAATCAATGGATAATATTCAAAGAAAAAAATCTTAAGTGTGGTTCAAATTATTTTTCAGATTTCTTTTACCCTTGACAGATGCTCTAACAGATTTCAAACTTCAGAAAATCACCAAAATATACATATTTTTACTGAGAAGTTGCTTAAGAACTCAGATGCTACTATAGTCACTGTTGAATTTGCTTTCATATTTTTCCTTGTAGTCATGTAAATTCTTGTAGTTTTTCCTATGAACATCTCAAGTAAGTTGCCAGGTGCTTCCACATGGTGGAAAGAGGCTTGCATTGAAGATCTGTTTGTGAGTTTATTTTCTTCCTCAGCTCTAGGACTGGATGACGTGGTTGGAAACTTTGAGGTTGGCAAGGAATTTGATGCACTGCTAATCAACACAAAAGCTTCAGATAGTCCTTTTGATTTGTTCTCTGCTGATAACTTTGAGGTAATCAGAAGAGAAGTTATGATCCAAAAAATTACCGAAAATGATGTGGGGAAAGTCTGTAATACAGCCAGAATAAGTCTCTTGAGAGTTATTCTAGTAACAGGAATCAGGTGTACTACACCACTGCTGTCTGTGTTTCAGCTCAAGAGATTCAGTGGGGGTTTTTTTATAGAACTTTGCTGTCCTCAGTGACAGTCCCATATACACATGAACAATGTACCATGTACCATGAATGTAACCTTTTTTAATGCATGTTTTATTAGCAAAGCTGACAATTAGAGTTAGCTATATGCAGTGACAAGTGACAGCCAAGAAAAAGCAATTTAGTTCTAGTTTGAACATTGAGTGGAAAATGGCAGCTGTTTCTCAGATAAAGGCTTGGGTACCTTGACTACACTGCTATTGTAAATTTAAGTAAGAACTCAAGACATCTAATTCGAGTTGAAAGCACAGGTTTTATGCAAACCTATAAGCAGTATTTGCATTCTGCAACGGGCCCACTTTCTCATACAGTGTGCACCCTTTTATTATTAAAAATGCTAATGAACAACCATTCCTTGATGTGGCCAGACTATTTTATCACCCTCTCTGTTGTGGATGCCACCATTTGCTTAGAAATGGTGGGCATAACTGGTGAGGTTCCCCAGTCTGTTTCAGACAAAGTAAACTGGTTTAGATTAAATCCTTTAAATTTTAAATCTACTTCCTAATTCAAATAATTCTGGAGAAAAAAAAATCCCGTTTAAGTCTAAGCCTTTGTAGTTAAGTAAGCAGCAGTTCTTAGGACTCTAAAAATGCTTGCAATTTTGTCTTACTTTTCAATAAGTAAATGTATTTGAAAACTCTAAAAGAAAGAGAAGTGTTATGTTTTAGGCATAAATTTGTTTATACTGTTAAACTTGTGCAGTGAGACATACACCCTCCATACTGAAAGTTATTTATGAGACAGTGTGCAATTCAGCATTGATTTTACTGTTAGTAGGGATATTTGGGAAAACGATTTTTTGTCAATTCTTTCAAGCTTCAAATAATTATGATCTGGTATAGCAGATGCTGCTTTCTTAATTTTCTTAATTCTTAATTTGGCTTTCTCCCATTTTTTTCATAGGACACTCTCCAGAAGTTCCTGTATCTAGGTATGCTCTGATTCTCAGCCCTCAAAAAATAATTTTCTTGTATAATATTTCAAAAATTGCCTAAATTATTGAGGAGGTTAATATTAAGTTTTTTTACAGTAATTGAATGTATTTATATACAGTGTATATAAACGTTACTGTATCACCAATTCATTAATATTCATACTTATTTACATTAAATATACATTTACTTAAATTTATTAATATTTATTCATAAATACTAAGTTAGAATTAAGTGGTTTAACTTTTGTTCTTTGTGACAGAGTTGAAATGACAGTTTAACATGATCAGATACACCAAGTTTGTCACATGTATTACCACACCTACCTTTATCTACAGTATGAGCTAAACCATATTACACAGTAAAGTAACACTGACATGGTAATCGCCAGTTCAGAACCAGTTCAGCTCAGAAGGACTTCTTCAGACTTGATGGCATTGTGGGTTTTTTCATTCACTAACAAACAAAACCCAACCCAAACAATCCAATCCCCCTAAGAGAATAGATATTCTTTACAGGCCATTGTCTGGACCAAGAGCTGCACTGCCCATTATGTTGCTATATAGATGTTACGTGTTAGTTTTGACCCTATTTGTGTTATTCTCTAATTAGACATTTCTCTTTGATAGACTGGCAGAGGCAAACCAACTTTGCTGTTGCCTGGTACCTGAGTTATTTTGGATACTCAGCAACAATGCATTTTTTGTATAGACATAATGTTTTCAGGGTTTGACTCTACTAAATATATAGAAAACCCAGGAAATCAGTGCAGCAGCTGAATGTTATGTTAATTTCTTACAAAAAAACATTGGTAGTTTAAATATCCAGTCATTTTTGTGGTAACCCTGACTATTTCTTTCCAAATAAACTTTCTCAGTTGTAAGAAAAAATTACTGAAAATTATGTATTCCAAAACTGATTTTATGGATTGCATAATTTGCATTAATTAAATCAGTGTGTAGATTCATGTTCAAGTCTCTTGTTTGACCACATTATTTCAGGTGACGATCGGAATATTTCTGAAGTGTATGTGGCTGGAAAGCAAGTGGTTCCTTTCTCAAGTTCAGTATAAATCCATTTTCCTTTTGCAAAATACTCCGCTGATCATTCTGCATCTGATTTGGAGAAGATTGACTAAACACAGTGCCTGATCCTCAGGAATGACACCTCATTTTTGTTTAATGTTTTAAAACTTAGAAATTTTTTTAGACTTTTCAAGAGCTACCTTACCAAAATCATCACAGTTCTCCAGGAAACAGGTATTTCAATTTCTGTCTAAAAATAGCATGTGTACATTTACAAGGGATTTGGTAAACACCATAATTAAAGAGGACACATGCTGTTCCTTACTAATAATAGTGTAGGTAGCATTACGAAGAGCAACGAGACTCTCCTTTTCTATAGTGCACCTGAATTACAAAAAAAGGACAGTGCTAGTAAATGGATTTTGCAGATAATACAATGGAAGAATGCAATTGTCATAATTCTGTCACCAAGTACAGAAAAATCAGTGACGTTTTGGAGCATTTAGAACATGTTTCAGTTTTCTTTAGGAGCTTATTTTTTTAAAGCAATTATTTAATTTAGGTTTTTTTTAATGATAAATAGGATAAGAAGTGTGCATTCATAAATAAATAAGGGTCCTTATTATCAAAGATAAAAGGGAATTAAAGGTTTGTCATTCATAGTCAGACGGAAGAGAAGTGGTGGAAAAAAACAAATAAGAAATGGGGCATTAATCACAGGGAGACAGGCTGGGAGAGTGGAAGGGCTGCATTGTTCTGTGATGCTGTCTCCTGAAACTGCATTTCCACAGATTTTGATCTGGTCTAGAAGTGGTCAGCTTCATCTTCCACCCCTCTATTGAATTATCTTCAGCTGAGCAACAGCTTATGAAATACATTAAATTAGAAGCAGGCACTAAGATGGCAGGCTACTTGATGGCAAAAAAATGAAGAGATTTTTCTGACTAGAGGGAGTGATTCATCTAGTTCAGCCTCCTGCAGAACCTTCCTAAGCTCATTTGCTCCTGACTCTTCAGGTAGGATGAAACAATGTTCCTTCTCCTTTCTGTAAGGGAAATTAATGGGTTTAAAAAAATTGCGAGAGAAATGGACTGGTTTTGTCCATGACCACCTTTGACTTGGGGTGGTAACTGTCACTGGAAAAAGCAGCCCAGCTTTAATGTGCTCTTCTGTGTCCTTCAAAGTGACAACCGTAAGTCCAGCCTAGTACAACTCCAGGTTAAAAATGTGCCCTTTTTATTTAGAAAAGCTGTCCGACTTTTGTTTCTTAAAAAGCATATTTCCCTACTTTTGATCAGAGACTTTTCTTTATTGTGACATTAGTTTGAGGAGGGGGTTGCTTCTTGTTTTGTTATTATATTTTTGCAACACAGAGTTTGTAAACTTTAATTTCAGTGTCAGTAGAGACAATACAGTATTGCGTTACTACCAACTTGTTGAACATGGTTTTAAGGCCTGCTTCAAACTCCTTAGATTTCACTAAGCTTTATTTTCACACTTATATCACTGCCTGGCAATATGAAGGCATAGGACTTCCACCTGTTCACAGAACAAGGGAGGTCACTGCACTGAAGTCTCACTTCTTGTCTACTTCTGAGAAAAAGCTTGGCCCATTTTCAGAGCTTACATGCCATTATGGTTATGCCTACATGAGGCAGTATAGCGTCAAGTGGAAGTGTAAAAGCTCACATGGGTTAAAGCAGTACAGTCTTTACAGTATGGGGATTTTTTGCCAAAGCTGAGTAGCCCTACAGAAGAGCAGGGGATGTTGGCTTTGCAGACACCACCTGCATGCAGCTATGTGGATTGCTTGTTGGGAACTAGCTCAGGTGTCTTCACAGGGCACTGCACTGTGCCATGTGCTTGTGGAGGTACAGCCTTCATATCCCTTATGTGCAATGATTCCTAAGGCTTTAGGAGTCAAGATTTAAGGATTAAGATTTTCTTAACCATTTTTTTTTCCTGTGTCTCAATCATCTACACAGTAGCACACTTGCTTGGAAAATATAATCTTAAGATCTTTAACTTGGTTTCCTGATTCAGAGAGCATTTTTCCTCATGAATTTTGACATGAATGTCATTGACCAAATTTCACATTCCAAACCCAAAGTTCTGTGAGACACATTTTAATTGTCTCAGTTACTGTTCGAAACTATTTTTAGGGAGTTTCATGGTTTTCAGCTTTGGCTTTCCTTCAGTAATGTTTTCTGGGGCAGAGAAAGATTACACAGCCTTGTGTGCAATGTATGTTTGTGTTCTACTTCTTAATTCCCAGATTTATGAATTAAATCAGCACTTTTATTTTAGTGATAGTCTTAACTGTCTCTGACTTCATTGTTTGCCCACTATTTTGCAGTGTTGTTAAGAATGGGATTCAGCATTTCTTCTTAAAAGAATTGCAGGGAAGGATGGGTTGCTTATTTACAAACTGGGAATTCAGAAAAACTTTGAAGTTCAACAATATACTGCTAGGCCAGTTGCAAAGGGAGTCCCTAGGATAACAGCTGACAATGAGCTTTGTACATAAATATTGTCTGCATCATACACAGCTTATTTCTTGTTAAATTCAGGTACAAGGTAGGAACTCAGCCTTTTGAGTACAGCTTTACTAGTGTCTAATACACAAACAATATCCTGACCTAGAAACGGAGAATCAATTTCTTAAGAATCGCAGCTAGAGGAGAAGCTCTGCCTGCTGGTAGTGCCAGGGCTGCCTCCACCACCCTGCAATGCCCAGGATAGGGAGGAGCTGGGATCAAGATGGATAGCATTCCCCTAAATGCTGATGTGCTTAGGGGTAAAGGAAAGAAGCCTGAATTTTATGTGGGAGGAAGCCAGTGGAGGAATTAATATAACAAATAACTGGAAGGTACTTTCAATGACACCAACATCTTAAATAGAATTTAATGGAGCAAGACTGTAATGCCAGAAAAAAAAAGTTGAAGGGCAGGGTTTCCTGAGGTAGTCCAAAAATCTTGTGCAGTGGAAGATGGCTTATGCACAGAAATGTTAAGGTTTTAGGAGATACAGAGGATATAGTAGCCAAACTTCTCTGAAGCAATTTTTGGAAAGTCAATGAGGATCCCACTGTGAAGTTGTGGTCCTTGTGACTCTGGCTATGTGTTGGTTGCCAAGATACTTGGTGCAGTAGGGGAGGGTCAATAGATGGAAGCAATTACTGCTGAGACATTTACATTATATGCATCTTAAAACTACATATAGTATGCTTCCTTGTATAAATGTCTCCACTGCACAGGCAGTTTGAAGCAGGCCAAATAATTGTTTCAGACTCTTTATGTCTCTTTTAGAAGCTGCAGTATATCTGGCACGCAGCTGAGCCTCCACTGTAGTGCCATCCAAAATAATCTTAATCCTTGTGTACCAAAACATTCTGCAAGCTGAACCAAGGTTCAGTAAGGGAAGATGATGGGGAATTTGCTTCAGAACAGCACTGTCTCAAACCAAGATGCTAATGGAGGCTAGAGCTTGGACTATTCCCCCTCCATCTTCATTGTCACGGACCTTAGTTGCTGAAGACAAAGAAACCACTCTCCCTCTCTCACACTCTCCGTTAAAAAAAAAAAAAAAAAAAAGGTGAAAATCAGGCAGCCAAACACGCCAAACACTAAGGAGAGATGAGTAAATGGAAGAAAAGAAGGGGATAGTTTTCAGTCAGTGTAAATTGACACAGTGTTCCTGATTTAAGATTAAACCTCTGGGAAATGTACACACAAGTGTTTCCAGATGTCACTGCCCATTAGCTCTCTTGCCAGAATGTAGATGGGTTCTTTGTTTCTTAAAGTGTCTTTGTGTTCAGTGTTAGTACACCGTTCAGCAAAGAAAAAAAAAGGGTAGTTTGTGGAAACCTTGCTTGTTGGGACAACATACTCAAGGTGTTCTATGTTCAGATGAGCATTTACTTATTATAATTGGAATGTATTTGAATTATTGTTATATGTTGATCTCATTGTGTCACTTCAGGTTTTGATTATTAATGAAGTGCTATTAAGTATCGCCTATGCATTATGCAGCGTTATTTGAATTATTCATGTGTTGCAAGTGGAGTTCTGCACTTTAAAATGTTGCCTTGGCCTAATGTTTATATTTATTCTGTAGTTTTTGTGCAAACAGAAATCTTTGTAGGGGAAAAATGTGTATTTTTTCAATGTACTGAACATTTTTAATATTGTAAATTTTAATCATAATTATGCAATGTAGATGAGCAAAAGGTAATAATTTTTGCTAAATATTTATTGTTCTACTGAGCAAATGAAAATGTAACTATTCCTGATCACACATTTAAAAAGAATATGCAAGTCTTGAAAAAGCCCAAGTTTTTTCAAAGCATATCCCAGTTTTAAAAGGAAAAGATATGGAGTACATTGCTTAGAAAAGCTGTTTAAAATTATTTTTTTAAGCATTTCCAGGAGCAATCCATAGCAGATGATAAGGTGGATAGCTTTTAAAATACCGTATTTTTATGAATAAACGGTGCTGCCTTATCTGCAGCCCTGTGCATAGCAGTGATTGTCTCATGTCTAAAATGATAGTGTGCAAGTAGAAGGTATTTTTAAAAAAAGTCAAGGGATTTTGAAAATTTGAGAAAGGACTGGGAAACAAAAAGAATTTCTGAAGAGATTTGAAAAGGGAAAGAAGAGATTGAAAAGCAGAATACAAAATAATGCAAAGTAGAAAACCCTAGATCAGAGGAGCTTGTAAAAACAAGATGACATATCAGTGAAGTTTTGGGTGGGAAACATTCAGAAAAGAGGGTATATTTTCACGCAATGTTCTGTTAAATCATCGACCTCATTTTTTCTGAAAGGTACTGAGGCTGAACATCTGAGCTGATTTCTAAAGCAGTTACTTGCATGTTTAATAATACAAGCCCAAATAATTGTAGCTTATCATAGCATAATTATATAATGCTTTTCAGCCTCTCAACCTCTGCTTCAAGGTTTACATCTAAATTACCTGCAACAACTCCAAAAAAACCTAATGCAAGGGCACGTAAGACTTTATCTCCACATGTCCTGTGAAACATCTG